TTGCAATGAGACTGGAAGTTGGGGATCCCATCGGCGTCCCTTTGGTCTGTTCATATGCTCTGCCATTAAAAGGGGAAAAATTCTTTGGCAGAAGACAAAGAGTTGCATGAGATGGTCAATTATGAGACGACCCCTCGATTCGTCATATTTCTCTTCGAGTCGTTTGCGTAGGACGTCGCATGCTAGGTCCGGTGGGCTAGATGTGAATAGTGACACGCCCTGTTATTTTGCCATCTGTGCTTGCAACCAGAAACCACGGCCCAGTTCCGATCCAAGTACGTAGGTTGCCACGTCAAGGTCACACGCCACCACTCCGGGGGCGCGCGCGGGCGGGACACAATAAGATGGCGCGAGCATGGACGTGACGTGGGCATTGACCGATCATAAGGGCCACCTCCCCACACCCTATTTAGGAGTAGCCAACGTTTGCTGCTGTCTCATTTTCTCTGACGATGGCTTCTCGTGTGGAGCCGAAAGCTCAGAGGAATAAATTGCCGTTCCAGAGGTTGCATTTTCTTCTTCTTTACAACAAGAACCTGGGGCACGCATATTCGCTTCTACTGTTATAAATCTTACTGTCACCACGACTGGATTTGGTGCGATCTAAACTATTGAAGTTTTTAATACAATCAATAATACTAGCACCACGTCCGTATATTGTTCTTACAAATTATTTGTAAGTCAGTGAAATGTAAGAAAGAATAATCATTAAAACATGGGTGTGGCATAGCGCATCCGACGCACTATCACAGACGCGTACATACACAGAACCAGAGGCAGACTCCTATGCGCTGGGTGGTGACAAAGGAGCCTATGCGAAGTGCTGTTATCGGCAGGATTTAATGGGTGTTGTGCTAGTAACCGTTATTGTAATTTTTCAGACGCCTGCCAAAATGCATCTTACTGCACTTTTGCCTTTCGATTCGATTTTAATTATGAATTGATGCGAGTTCCGGGTGCTTTTATGAGTAAAGAAGAGGACTGACGAAACACCGGAACAATTTTTTTCTGAGCTTTTGAACTCGTGCAGGAGTCAATTGTCAGGGATAGCAGCAACAAAAACAGAAAAAGGCTACACTTTTAAGGGGTACAGGCCGATCAATAATTAACGAAACACGTCTGCAGATGACTACAAAGGGCTCTCTAGACCGACACCATATCGATGCATCGATTGACTGAATTCCCATCCGAGGGCCAGGCTTAAATAAATTCTCGGTTCCTCTTGCTTGCGGCGTGGGCGATTATCTTGACGCCTGCGAAGTTGAAATAATGGGCCGTTTCTTAGGTGTGGGCAGCTACTTGCGGTAATTCGTCGTCATGTCGCACAGCCGGTTTATGTTCTTGTGTGCATGATCCGAACATGCGTTCAGTCTGACCTATGCAGTTACGAAGACAGTTTAGGCGTGGAGTGCGATGCACTAGGGAATTCTTGCTGATATACAATTCACGAGGGAAGAAGAACACAAGCAGCAGCTGCCTTGGTGCCCGCGTCTAGCAGAATCCTAACACTGAAAGTGAGACGACGGTTTACAGGAAGGCAGTGGATAGCACATACATGGTAAAATGACTACGTAAGTAGTATGCATTTAACTCATTGATTTTGACTGCCCTTACTAATTCAAATATATTTTATAGAAAACATTAACAAAATTATTCTATCTTGTGCTAGTTTGGTAGCACATCACGCTGTCTTCAAATGTTATACTTAAGGGGAAGTGTATTTCGATTTTAAAAATGTTTCTAAATTGCCGAATAGTTTTGAAACCTACCGACCGTTAAAACTGAATATAGGCCTTCCAATCTGCGTGCTGTGTACATCCTGAGTAGGAAAAATAACGTTTTTCCCTATTGCGGGAGGAAGAGGTTACATAGTTCTCATAAATTTTTGCAATAGATGTGGATCATGCTGCATACATTATAGGCAACATTAGTGAATTGCCGGATACGATGTAGTATGAATGAACACTTCACAGTCGTACAAAATCTCATAATTGGAAATTTGTCTAAAACAGAAATACACCCTTCCTCTTAGTACAAAATTTGAACAAGGTGTACTTTTCTACCAAAGGAGTACAAGGAAGAATCATTTTGTGAACGTCTTCTATAAAATGTATTCGAATTTATAAAGGCAGTCAAAATCAATGAGTTAAATGCATACAACATAAGTAGCCATTTTTAACGAATAGACATCTTGCAACCAGTGTCGGTACATTGGCGAAATATCTTCTTCTACAGTAAGGACTCGGTATTTGATCAAACAGAAGGTTGACGATGGTACTGCTCCATCACACAGTCTTGCCACATCCGCAAGACAAGCGTTGATACACTAAACCCCGTCAAATAGTGTAAAGATTTGCTAGTGGATTATTAAACGCCCTTTGACAGGTGCATATCCAACAGACTGACAAGTCTCTGAACGAGAAAGCAATTCATTTCGTAGTCTACGGTAAATTGGAGGGTTTGCATCTATAGTGTCGAGTAGGATGGCTTTTAAATACTAGACTGACCCACGCCTATTGATAGGGTGCCAAGGAGAGACTAATAAAAGGGGAGTGAGGAGAAAAATTAGGGGATTTGAAAAGAAAACAAAGATGTCAACAGGCAAGCACGAAGGAAGGGAGAATGTGTTGGGCGATACCCATGAAGAAAATAAGTATGTCTATAGTGACTCATCCCGCGTAGACGCTCACGCGCGAAGGCTTACCGGTGCTAACGAACACAGATGCACTGATGTCAGCCTCTGGGACAGCCAATCACAGGTGTGTCTGTTCACTCCGGTCTGGCCAATCACCCTTCAATGGTAATTCACACAAAGACAGCTCTCTGTGGCCGTAAGGATGACTGCTGCCAGGCCCGGACTTCTGACATTTCCCGGCTCCGGTGCAGATCTACGCTCGTCCGTCAGTCAACTTCCTCCTATCTATTCTGCATTCATTGTGCACAGAATAAACTGTTCCTACCACTCTAGCCTCCTATCTCTTCTTTCCTACTAAGGAAACAGGCCTGAAGATCGCAGATGCTAGGGTTTAGCATACTTACTTAACCTCCTGCGATACGTCGGCCTAAACAAGGGTCCAACCGGGTATAAAGAGCTCTAACTTATACAAGAGACATTGGCTTGCCAGTACTGCTATTGCCGTACACACGTGGAGCAACACTAGTCAACTGACCAAGAACTGCGCTTCATAGCCTGTTGAATGAGCCAATGGGTAATTCACAAAAAGAGCAGCATTCTGCTATGTCTTGTATG